ATCAACAAATTACCTAAAAAAAAAGTAGCAGCTCAAGCTATGGAGGTGAGACAAAATGGCGTACTTCTGTCGGCGTCTATGTGGGTAAAATAAATGAAATGTGAAATATTTATAGTGAAAAAATTTTAAATACTTTACTGTTGGCAAGATTGCTAAAGGGACCAGTATTGATAGATTCTCAATTTCATGACATTCGTAGAAAAGATTGCTCTTCTCTGTAGAGTTGTTGGTATTCTTGTTGTAAAGTTGTACGAGGTTTTAATGGGTAAACAGAGTATGGTGCGACTAACAATTGCTTACTGAACATACGACAAAGAGTACGTTAGGATCAAGTGTAGATAGGGAAAAGTGTCTTTTACACAATCCAGACCTTAATTGTGCCGGCACCTCGAGCTCATCGTCTGCTATGGTTGGTGGTTGGGTTCTAAGAACACCATTTGCAAAGATAATGAAATACTCTCTGTGAACGGCACCTACGGCCCGTCTGTTAGGCGGTGGTGAACATACGAGGCGTGTTCAAAAAGTATAGCGAATTTTGAATTTTCCCGGGTTACGTATAATCGAATTACGATTTTTTTATGGCATTATGTTGGTACTCATGTCTGTCACTTATGCCGACAAGCTCGGCCATTTTGAATGTTCACTTAATTGTTGACAGCTGCTTTGCTTGTACGTGATTTGGATGGACTTCGATTTTTACCTATTCAAAAACATGGATCAAAGAACCTGTGTCAAATTTTGTGTTTAAAACGAAATTAAGTGCGCGGATACATTTCGAATGTTGACTGTGGCATACGGAGAAGCTATCTTGGACCGAAGCAACGTTTATCGGTGGTACAAAATGTTCTCAGAAGGCCGAGAAGATGTGAACGACGAAGAGCGTGCCGGATGCCCGAGCACTTCAACAACAGACGAAAAAATTAATTGCAGGGGCGTGGTGCATCATGAGTTCTTGCCACAGGGTAGAACGGTCAATAAGGAAGTTTACCTGCAAGTTATGCGCAACATCCAAGCAGTGTTGCTTACACAAAGTAACGATATTCTCCCTAACTGGCGGCATAGATTTTGCAATGTGGAAGTTCGTTAAGCTGAGTGATTGTGTAGAAAGAAGACTACGAAACGCAGGTGTGTACTTCGACATTGATGGATTAGGTTGGAGACGGCGGTGGGCTCAGAGTTTCATTTCCATTACGCTATCCTAATAGTCTGATGGTAGCGGACACGCTTATGGCATAAGTCAATCATATTTATTTAGGTTGCAACGTAATCGCTATTTAATTGGTTCCAGCAACTACTCCAAATAACTTCGATATTACAACAAAAATATTCTGAAATTTTCAGACTATAAAATCACCCAACACAGAGCTCTTACAGCAAATGTAATCAATGGATTTGTATGAATTAGGAACTGTCGTCAAGGTTATGAAACAGCAGATCCAGCAAAAGGTGGCCTACTTTGCCGAAAAAGAGGATTCTTTTGTTGCATTCCAGCTGAGGGGCAGTCCAGCAATAATAGAAAAGGCGGCCAATTAACAGAGTTGGTTTGAGATCAATATTTCAAATTGCAGAAAATGAATTTTAATAAACAAAATTAAATTCATTTTTCTAACTGCCGTCGCCCCCCGGCAAGGAAAGTCAACCCCTGCAAGGATATTTTCTGACCTCAAATATAAAAATCCCCAACAGCAGTTCGGAGACGGCTGAGTCTAATCCGTACATACCTCTATTTGATTGAAAAACGTCAAATTGAAGGGGAAGCTCGGCCCAGAATCGCTTCAAATGTTATAGAAGTACAGTCATGCAAAAAATTACAGCCAAAGTCTTAAATTTTGAAAAATAATAAAATGTGCAATGCATATATGTATGTATATCTACTATTCCGCTACATAATGGTATATAAGTCTTATGTATTTATAAAAAATTCAGTTATGTTTATACTTTATTTAACGGATCGTTTCACGTAAATGAAACTTTTTCTATAAATGCGAACAATTATATGAAAAGGTGTGTTTTATTACGGTGCAAATCCTTAATCAATAGTATTTATGTATGTAAGTTTGAGAAAAAAGTTTAACTAAGTGGTTTAATGCTTATCTTTCACAAATAAACACATAATGTAAAGATAAAAGTATATGTTTTATATAATTTATATATATGCATGTAAATATGTATGTATAAAAAGTATGTGCAATAACTAAATTTACCTCACCTACCCTATTTACTTAAACACGCATACAAATATCTACATAAACAAATAAAAGAGCAAATCGTGTTATCTGTCCCAGGTATGCTACCTGACACATCAGGAAAACACGGTAACCACCACGATTAGGTTACGGATGAGCTCGACCCAAAAATGTATCGTATTTTGGTGTTTCACATTATTTAGTATTGATTTAAGGTGTGATCAAATGAATTACACTTTTCTGAAGCTTAATATAGGGTAACTGCGGGCCAATGGCACTAATATGCAGACGCTTAGCAGTTTATCTCCGTTACTGGATTTTATTAGCGTCTGATTGTTTATTATGTATATATGTACACGTATGTACATATGTATATTCAAAAGCCGTATCGCTAATCAAATATTAACTTGGAAATATATATGTAAATACATACACATGCATAATTATACAAACATGTTGCGAAGTTGCGATATCTCTTTATGCTCCTCTACCAAAAGACTTATAGGGGCATATGTATAATATAAAGGAAGGGTATCAAAAAAAAGCAAATAAATAAACTTAAATAAAGAGCGATATCTATGATTTCCGGAATTGCAAGGGAGCTAGTATAAAGCAAACATCCCTGGTTAAAACTAATGTATTTTTTGAACTGTGGCATTACATATTTTCATTTTCACTCTTCACTAAATTTAACTTACCGACTTCGAGGTACTTGCAGATCCGCCTCCACTGTCCGCGATTTTTGTTTGCAACTCATTTATTTGCTTACGCAGCAAAGCTATCTGTAAATAAAGATAGGATAACCAATTTAAGAAAATCGTATACAATATTTTAATCGAAAATATAATATTTGTAACTTCTTTGTTGGGTACGAACTACAAGAAAAGGGATGTTTGAACACTAAGAGAAAAGTAATTGCCGGATGTACATATGAGACCGATTCGTCTTTCTTCACATCTTCACATCGCCAACTTTTACTCTCAGATCTAGTTGGTACTAAATAACAGCTGATAAAAATGATCAACGTAGATTTTCCTGTTGAAAGTCTCAAATTACCATCTTAGAAGTGGTTGTAGGATACACTTTCGAACAAAGGTTATCAATACGGCCAAATACCAAGATCGAGCCCCTGTGCCATGCCTGTCGTAAGAGGCGACTAAAATACAATAGTTCCCGCGACAGTCGGGTCTTTATACCGGAACGACCCGGATTTTTATCCGGCCAAGGACTGTCACTCCCGCAAAATTCCCCAAAAAGTACTTTGGGGAATAATTTTGCGGCTACAACAACAACAAAAACAATTAATTGAGGTTTGCAGGGTACCAACGCTGTCACTACTCCGCATTGTTTTTATTGGTTAAATACAGATTGAAGGCCATGCAGAAATGTTCTGTTTCCGCTAGGACTGGATACATTAACAGCAACATGTCTCTTGCTTGGTTAGACAAAAATTTATATAACTCGATTCATTTCAAAACTGTTTGTCCTTCCATTGCTTGGTGTTTATGGTAATGAAATTTCCGCGAATGGTAAATAAATGGTAAATGGTAAAGCGCTTTATCTAAAAATGCATACATATGTACGCATATGTTAGCCGTTATAAAGATGCAACTTTACTACAATCGAATACATAAGAAAACAATGGATTTTGATCTAAAATACAAAATCAGCAATTTCACAGGAAAGTCAAATCGAATTCACTTTGATTTAGTAAATTTTGCTGATATAAGTAATAAAAACAAATTTGTATATATGTAAGTGCCGTTTGTAGCAGCATCATGGCGAGAGAGTTATCACAAAATTGTTGTGTACCTACTCCTTCTACTTACTTCGTTATCCTTTTCATTGCATAATTTGTCCAAGTGCTCCTTCTCATTTTGCGTATCGGCAAGCAGTTCTACAGCTGTACGTGCTTCGATTTCTGGACCTCTGTATTCATCATCCCCTGGACCTGCTGTCTCAGCAAGCACCTCCTGAGCCAAATTAGTTAGTTGACCTTTCAATGTACTAAGGCTGCTATTGAGCCAAGACATATTTCCAACTCAACAAATTACTTCAAAACGCTAAATATATTTTTGCTGCCTTGTTTATTGACACAACAATAATTCGTATATTTTTAGTAGTTAATTTATTTATTTGCGTTTTTACGTTGACAACTTGGCAAAAATCGCTTTTTCGTGTATTTTGGTTTTGTTGTTGTATGCGAACTGTCAACCATCAGCTGATTGTTAGTTTTGTGAAAACTCTGTTCGTTTTAATGATTATTGTACAAATACACTGTGAAAAACGGTATGGATTAAAACAGCGTAAAAGTTTTCAGCCACCACGAATTTCCGGAATCATAGAGACAGCGAAGTACCAAGATACCACGAGCACTAATATAGAAGAATAAAATGATAAACTCCTTTACGTACCGTCAAACAAAATATTATCTAGACTGCAAAATTGGTACCTTCTTATACTCTTCCTTGTGTATATCCTGGAAAGTCTTTTACTAAAAACCTACAATTTTCCATAGTCGCAGAAACTCAAGACTCTGAGACACTGAAAAATTTGTAAGTCAGAATTGCCTTTTAGAAAATATGAATCTGTTCTATTGCATATCCACCCGATATCGATAATACATGGAGACGGAATTAATCAATACTACCCACTATTGCAATCAAGTTACAAAACTAGAACTTGACATACCATTACCAGCATTACTTACTATTATAATTTAGACATGTCTAGCCAAAATTTCTCCATTTCCACGATCCCAGTTCTCTGCTGATTAACAGAAAAACTTATAAAACAAAAAATTGCCAATATTTATCGAATATTGAAACAAAGTTTACATATTCTACAGCTTTATTCTTTATTTAACATGTCAATCCTTGTTCATATATACACAAGATCAGAAACAAGAACTCATAAAATATGAAGTGAAACATTAATTCCACATAGGAATCAAATAGTTAAGAGTTATATGTCCAAAACTTGGCATGCATGTGTTCAAAATGGGCGTGCTTGTGAGCTGAAACCTAGTCCTACCCCCCGCATGGTATGGGTAGCTTGACGTGCCACTTCATACTGTTGCTCCATGTTTGAGAACATTACTTCCCTTGTTTTAACGTCGGGAGCCACGGACGGTGTGGCTTTCTGCTCAACTTCCTCCCCGTCGCTCTTCGGCTGCGCAGCGCCTTTAATGCCCATTAGACGCATAAATTTAGACGCCACCTTGCCGTCAGAATCTTGTGAAAATTGTGCATTGCCCCATTTAGCTGCAGTATCTTCAACTTTCTTTGCACCCCAAAGTAGTTTGCGTTTTTGTACTTGCTCAGCATATTTGTTCGGATTTATAACATTCGGATTGTAGTAACTTGGTAGGTGAATGACGGCTGGTTCACTGCCACTACTTTTTGAGCAAGTGGCAACTGGTGCAACGGCAATCACATTTGGCTGCTTTGGTGCAGTTTCATTCAAGGGCAGAGATAATAATGCTTCTGTACTGCGTGCACCGGTTTGGGATGGCTGCAGTTCTTTATCTTGAGATGATCGACTAGTTGACTGAATTTTACGTTCCATTTCTAGTGCTGATAGACGAGCCTTTTCCAATGGAACTCCCCCACGTTCGCGTTCACGCGAATCAGGACGTACCGGTGTAACGGAACGTGACCGGGATCGCGTGCGATGACCCGATTTGTCATCGTGTGTTGAACGTTTACTATAATTACGTTGCGACGTTGATGTTGGTGAAGGTGAGAGTGAATTACTTCGACGACGATGGCGACCACCGCCCGAGCGATCATAATGCTCGATATGTCGATTCTGATGATGCTGACGATAAGAGGAAGATGCTGCATTTGATGTAAAAGAATCATATCTAGGGCGCTCATCCCGACCATTGCCGCTATAGCGACTGTTTTTGTACGACGATGAAGAGGGACGGTAGCGTTCATCTTCTCGAGGAGGTCGTGGACGATTGTCATAATTGTCACGTTCACGCTTATATTCGTTTTGATATTCTCTTGGTCTGGAGCGATCATTCTGAAAGTGAGCAAATGTTAAATTAAATTAGGAAAAACTAATTTCCGACGGAACAAATCTTAGAATAGGCGGCTTTTACAGTTATGTACGAAAAACAATTCGATAAATCAAAACTATTGCAACACACTACACATTTAGGTATTATTCTAAATAGTAATCTGAAAAAAAATACAATACCTTGTACTCATAACGGCTGTAGTCCTTTGTGTAGCGACCGTCTCTTGAATCTCTTTCTTTTTCTTCTTTGTATTCCCGCACATTGTCGCGATTTTCACGTCGACTATCTCGGTCTCGGTTGTCCCGCTTGTTGTTGCCCTCTCGACTGTAATATGACTCTGAACCTGTTCTATTATTGTTGCCAAAGGAAGAAGACTTCTGTCTTTGTGACTCCTAAAAAGTAAATTTTAGTGCAAAAAATACTTTAAAATTACTATTGGTTTATGGTCACTCTCTTTGCAATAACTTTTAAAAATACAACTAAGCCTAGAAATATCCGTTGTACAATTGTTACATTATACCCATGCCCATCGAAATTTTTGTTTTTGTAAATTTTTCTTTTAAATGTAAATTCTAGTTATTTATTACTTTAATATCCTGCAACAAATTGTAAATTACTGTTTCTTTTTTCTTTTGTTAATTTGTATTTATACTCACGTTCATTTACAGCTCAACTCCTACACAGTAAAGTTAAGTATGTATGTAATGAGAGCACACACATATAGAAAAAGGCTCCTTCGCATTTTTTTTCGCATTCCTAAAAAAATGTTAGGGTCTTTTTCTTTCGGACGAAAAATTATTAAGTTATACTTTATATTTGTGCGCTCCACCATTCAGGTCGCCGGACATATTTTTGCTTTTGACATACGAACAAACCAGGGCTGGTGCTGGCTTGATATATTGTTATGCGAACGTAGAGATGCAGATTGTAACTTTTTCGACTTTTTATATATATAACAACAATAACAAAAGTGGATAGTTTGTTAATTAAATAATTTCAATATAAAATTAAAGCTATTTTTATTTACAAAAATAATGATAGGAATGCCTAACAAAACAAGCTAAACTCCATAACAATTTTAGAAGGATTTCTATAGATCCCAAAAACACTTCTTTTCGAAACATACAAATCGCAACCACTAGGCAATTTTTTCTTCCTTGCATCGTCAAAAATGCTCTCCAATCTTGTATAGAAATGATATCTTGTTTGTATGCGTATGTAGTATGTGTTAATTAAATTTTAAAGTAAAAAAATTTACATAACCCCGCAACAGTTGCCGACGATGGTATGAAGAGGTAAGTTTTTAATATCAATAAATTTGAAAACTTTCGAAAAGCATTGAAAAATTAATGCACTTTTTAGAACTGTTTTTAATGCCCAAGCAATCACTTTAAAAAATTTAACTATACAAATGATTTTGAAAAACATTTACTGCGGAAGGATACACGCTTACAATTCTATTGTTGACAATTTAAGATTAGTTATTAATAAAAAAAAAAATAAATAAATATATATATATATATAAAAGTCGAAATTACTTATGTATGTATGTATTTGTTTTTTACGATAGCACCATCGCAAAAAAAAAAACAAAATAGGTACATATTGTAGTTATTTAAAAAATTTTGTTTACCTCATCTTTGTAAATATTACTGCGTGATGAGGGCGGGTCACGTCTACTCCCACCGCTACCGCCATCGCCCATCATAGTAGTTTCAATACCGTAGGAACGCCTTGTTCTGCTGGGGCTACGACCTCGGCCGTTTCCGCGTTCAGCCTAAAGGAATTTGGCAACTAGTCATAAACAGCAAATAGTGTTATTTTCTTTAAGCTTAATACATATACATATAACGAAAAATCAGTTTTAAAATGCAATAAAAAAGTGTCTTATATATATATATACATATGCTTGTTTTGCGAAAAGGACGTATACACACATAAAACACATTTTTTTATTTTCATCGTCGCCATTTTTCCATATGCGCTTTACCTTTACTTCACTACAAGAAATCAATTGCATAAAAACTCATGAATATACTTACAGTTACATTATCCATCATCTCCTCCTGTTCGTCTTCACTGCTGTAGTTAACAAGACTTTCCATGGATAATACTGAATAATTGCAACTTTTAAACTTTTACAATTATTTTCAGTTTATAATGAATAAAATAGCCTTTGACAATTTGAGAGTAATCGATAATTTAGAACTGTTCATTTGAAACAACATTTCACAGTGCTGCCTTCAGGTTATGTTTTAATTGTTTGATACGCGTCTCCACGAAAGAAAAATCATGTCAGAAGATCTATGTTAAAGCACATGTTGGCAACGGAAGCCAATTAGTTCAATACATACAAAAATCAATACGTAACTTTTACAAATCTAGACGTGGGCTATCGACCACGGCGTCTAAAACATTAAAAATCCAATGCGTACTACGGCGTAAAGTTAACAATATATCTATTTTTTGGAGTAACTACAATAACGTTGTTGCTAAATGAACTTTGATGATTTCCCAAATGGATTGTTAGTAAAAGTCCAGGTTTCTTAACTGTAAAAAGAATTTTCAATGAATGGTAATAAAGCATTTTTCTTTAGGTGGATAAAAATTTCAAATACGAATATGACCTGAAGGACAAGACCGACAAGTAAAGTTTATTCTTCATTGAGCGCATGAATAGAATAATCGTGATGGGGAACATTCAAACAAAATTTGTAGCTATATAAGAGTGAAGCGCACACTGATGATAAGTTCAGTTGAATTTGATACTCGGTGGTGATACCATCGTTGGAGGAGATTAAACTATGATAGATAGATACAGTAAACCGTGTGTTAGAAGAAGCTGGGACTCGAAGGAGGCGTATTTATCAAAAAAGTTACGTTTATTTTTTGTTGCATACCATAACTATTTCGGTAAATTTACTAGATACTTTCAAGTATTCGGTTTAAGAAAGTTAATAAATCATATGGTAACTTTTTTGTTGTTGGTTTCGGTAAGTCTTTTTCCCAACAAAGATGTCATCTTTGATTTTCCCCGCGCAGTATGCGAAAAATCCATCATTTCTGGCTATGTTATTTAGATTTTTGAGATTGATTGTGGCTTGAATAATCGTCTTCCTGACTAACAATTAGGAGAAGTAAATTAAATATGTCGAACGATCCCGATTATTTGGTGGCTTTGGAAATGCAAAAGCGATGGAATGCGGAATCTAGTATAGATTTGAATAGCAGTGATTGTAGTGTAAATACATTAAATAAGCATTTTAGTTTTTTTTTTAATTATTTTCATTCGTAGGACCCGGAGATTGTCAACTACAGCATGCCGCCACCGTCAAAGAAACCTCTACGAATAAAGCGAAGCAATCCAACTTCTAACCAAGACGAAGACTACTTGAACCGTACACAGAATCTTGTCCATCCACAATGGGAAACTTTAGATCCTACACCGGATGTATTTGCACTGTTTGCTGCATTCGATGATAAATTTTTCCAAAGTCGCTTAAAATGTGTGACACTTGAGTGGAGTAAACGCATGTATACTTGTGCTGGCATATGTTATTCGCGACGTAACCGTTTTGGAATGGACATCACAATCCGCTTAAGCGAACCGCTACTTAAATTACGACCTCGCAAGGACTTAGTAGAGACTATGCTGGTTTGTAAAAAACTCTTCTGAAAAGTCTTGAAATTCATAAAAGTTATTTTCCAGCACGAAATGATTCATGCATATTGTTTTGTCTTAAATATCCGTGAAGGAAATGGCGGTCATGGACCAAACTTCAAAAAGATCATGTATGCTATAAATAAAGTTGCAGGGACTAACATAACAGTAAATATGCTAGTGAATTCCTTTAAACTACAATTCATTTTGATATCGATTCTAGGTATACCACACATTTCATGACGAAGTTGACGTTTATAAGCAGCACTGGTGGCGGTGCAATGGCAGTTGCCAAAATCGTGCACCTTTTTTTGGCTATGTAAAACGTACATCAAATCGTGCGCCTGGGCCAAATGATCAGTGGTGGGCAGCACATCAAGAATCTTGTGGTGGCACGTTTATGAAAATCAAAGGCCCTGATAAACCAAAGAAACAAAACATGGTAAAACAGGCAAAACCAGACAAAACTAAAGATCTACGTACTTTCTTCCCTACGGCGGATAAAAAAATAAGTTCTACGCCGAAACTATCTGATGCTAACAACGTGAGAGGTTTCAATTCTGGTAGTACGGGCCTAAGTAGCGTCAAAGGTGTGTGCATTCTATTATTTCAATCCCCCCGCTATGCGCCTGCAAAGCTTTTATTTTTTTCTAGGACCAATTAAAACAAATGGAGGGGGTACACTCCTTGTAAACCCTAAAACAAAGCCACCTCTTACGAAACCTATTGAACGCCAACCTTCAATAGCATCTGCTTTTCCACCAACCTCCTATCCAGGTCTATCAAGTGATCCTTTCAATGAGAAAACCGCCACGCCTAGCAAGCGTTTACCCTCAATGGGTGGTAACTTACGTAATGTTGTTAGTTTTTCAAATTTGAATGGTAATGGTGATGACTCAGTAGGTCGTATTAATTCGAATACCAATGCAAATGCTGCTTTCATTGGTAGTGGTTGCCAAGTTGGAGCCAATAGTACGAGGGGGGTGAGCTCATTAGGTAGTCCACGTAGAGATGTGGATCGTAATCATTTACGAGAGCTTTGGTTAAAACGTTTTGATAACGGTAAAGGAAATGAAAGCCCGAGAATAAATAGCAATATGAAATTAACGCGCTTTCTCGACAGCGATGCAGACGCACCTGCAGGTGAGGGGATAAAACATTTCGCTTCATTAATTAACATTTTATGAATATCACTATTTATTTTTTTAAGGCGATGTTAAACGAAGACGCATCTCTAGCGATAGCGCAATACCGAATAATGCAACGAAGGAGACCAAATCGCAATCTGATGACTGGCTTGTATTGGATGATGAGATAATGTTAAGGGAACAGCCCACAGAGACTATTGCAATAATTTCCGATGACGAAGAGGATGATGTTGTAGCTACGGAGGATGAAGAGCTACAACCAAGAAAACGTTTAATTCCACTCACTGCTGATGAACGTCAAACTGCTATCAAAAAGGAAATTCTTGAGGACACTACCGATTTGCTGGATGACGATATTATCCTCATAGATGACGAATACGACGATAATCCACAGGCAGACACCAATAACTTGGCAAACATATCGGCCGCCGCACAACTGGCTGATACCTCTGTTATAGATGAGTTCTTTGGAGACGATACAATGCTGCGAGATTTCAATCGGGAAAATGATGTTAAGCCAACAGGTTCCTGGAATTTTTCCAACCCTAATGATGACATCATAACTTGCCCAATTTGCCAGGGTAAAATGAAGCGCTGTTTATTCGCTGACCATATGGACGGTTGTACTGGCATTGCAATTAAAATAGCGCCACCTAAACATTTACTAAAGAAGCTGTCAAGTACATCGCGACCTTTAAATCCAACGCGTGCGCCACGGCCCTCACGCAAAGAGATATTGCGCAAAGCTGGCTATTCGGAACAGGATTTGATCAATCTTACTTCGACCAGTGATGATGAATTTTCCACTAGTAACAGTGACATTAACCTCGCCTCACCGAGCAGGCCTAGTACTAATTCAACATCAACCGATTGGAGCCCAGAAGACATGGATACGAGGCGCTATCGACAAAGAAATATTCTAAAAAGCACAATTCAATGTCCCAATTGTGGGCAAGAAGTTGAGCCAGATACAATTAATGATCATTTGGATGATTGCCTCTCTCCCTAGTTGAGTTAAATTTTAAGTATATGTACGCATTTATTTTATAAAAATTACAATGTATTTTCGTTGCTCAGTGTGCTAAGTTCATCATACATAATTATTACAGCCTTGACATTCATTTCCATAAAATAAAATTTCTTTACATAATTTTACCAAAGTATTTAACATTATAAGCATTTTTATATTTTTCAGCCAGAGCAGGCCATTGTACGACCAATAAATCAAGGAATGGACGAAGTAGTTTCCCACTGAGTGATAGAGTCCGCACCCTACACCAACTTTCAACGAATACGATCTTGGTGTTGGAATGTAGTCGGCCCAGTCTTTTCCATATGTACGTTGCAATGCAAAATGGCAAACAAGTTCCAGGTCCATTGCACAGTAGTAGCTTAGGTTGGTCGCGCCATACTAGCCAGAAACTCCATATCAATGCCCATAGTGTTGTAAATACACTGCTAAAATAGCTCTGACCGACCTTGCGACTGCGAGGTACATAAATAAAGGAGGTATCGTCTAAAGATACACCAACCCTCTGCATGGCACTAGTTATTCTGCTCCGGGAAGTTATATCGTCGTTGGCTATAATATAGCGAAGAGGATTATATATTGACCTACCTCTCCCTGAATTCAAAAGTGCCATATTTATAGTACACATTTCTGCGGTATGTCCACCGGAGCCTAATACTATATATACCGGGTAATTGTTGTTATCCTCCTTTTTTGATGGCATTTCGGTGACTTTGTTCTGAGATATTTATATGTATGTATGTAAACAATAAAATTATTTAGTTTGCTGTCGACAATGTTGCCCTATTATGAATTTACACCCTTTAACGGTAATATTCGCCTAAGGTGAATTCGAAAAAAATTAATTTATTTTTACATAAATTGTTGTAAGGTTAAGAACAGATGCAACAATAACCAAATCCACCATGACAAATAAACAAATTTTGACATTTAAACACCGAACAGCTGATGAAACTAATTCACGTTGTCTGGACAGACTCATTTAATAAGTAAATTAAGTTTTTACTATAACCGATAATACATACTATTTACCTTAGTCATGACGACGCTTCTCTATTCTGATCCCGAGTTGGTTATTGCATTGAACAAAAAAGTAATATTCGTTAATCCCAATGATTTACAAATATTTAAAGAGATTGAGCTCCCGGAAGATTTATACGCATTGGGGCTAAAAGCATCCAACAATCTCACTGAACCGTCCGAACTGGCAGCTGAGAAGAGTGAAGAGAAATGTGAACAATCCAAAGTGTCGAAGAAGCTGAAGCATGTTAAAATAGAACCACCTAGCATTCTCCATGTCAAACTCTCGCCAGATAATCGTCTATGTGCTGTAACGACCTCCGGTCAAAAGGCTGTTCTACTGTACCAGTGTCGACCGGAGCAAGCCAAGCTAGTGTCAGTGCGTCCGCTTGCACGTGCTTCCAGCGTAATCACTTTTAGCCCTGATTCCAAAGTCCTTTTGGTGACCGATAAATCAGGTGATTGCTACAAATATGATTGTGAGAATGACGAAGAAGAACCGCAGCTCCTATTCGGTCATTTTAGTATTGTTTATGATCTGGTGTGGACTCCGGATAGTAAATATATAGTAACCTGTGACAGAGATGACAAAATTCGTGTAACAAACTATCCTGCAACACATGATATTCATGGCTACTGTCTTGGCCACCAAGAATTTGTGTCTGCCTTGGCCTTTTTGGACGAGGATACAATAATTTCCGTATCTGGTGATAAAACTTTACGTCTTTGGGATTTCAAAAATGGTAGAGAATTAACTATGTTAGAACTGCCTGCACCTGGCTTGCGACTATGCCTGCGTGCCACGGGGGAAAATAAACTTGAAGCTGCGGTGCTTCTCTATCAGCCCGATGAATGTATTGCTCTATACGAACTAACTAAAAGTGATACCAGCAAGTGGTTGGTCAAGGAGCGCCAAATTCTACGAATTCCAGGAGTGATTGTTAATAGCATATGTTTTATAAATAAAAATCTTTACGCTAGTGGCATTGTCGATGAACATTTTACATTAAGAGTATTTAACGTGGATGGGTGTGAGTCGAAAGTATCTGGTGACTGGATTAAGGTGATAGAGGAACAGTTTAAAACAGAGGTGTGGAAGCCTGAAGATGTATCGGCGTGGTTCAAAAAGCGTTTTGATAATGTGAGTGACTACTTAGAACGCAAGAAACGACGAATTGAAGAAAAACAGAAGTAACATTTTCTGGTATAAATAATCATACGAATTAATTTTTACTTGTAATGCAGTAAATAAAGTACATTTTTCAGTTTATGTAATTTTATAGAAAATTTATTTTTTTTCTCTCAATATTTCGATATAAGTAACTAACTTAAACAGGTTTGTAGTCCAGCTTGCTTTCTAATTTCTTATTGTCGGCTACCTTACGTACCGCCTTCATGAAATCCTCCTGTATGACATATTCGCGATCAGCCCTTGAAAAATATATACGTTATTATTATAATATTTATCAATACCTAATTTGTTACCTGATAGCAAAGAGACCAGCTTCTGTACAAACATTTCTCAAATCAGCACCGTTAAAATTGTCCGAAAGTTTTACAATAGCTTCATAATCAATTTCACCGTGCTTGGCGATTTTCGCTGCATGAATTTTTAGAATCTCCATGCTGTAAAATATTAATATAATATTTAAAATTTGGGAAAATATGCTTTGACATTACCGAGCTTGTTCATTAGGTAAAGGTATTTCAATTTTGCGATCCAAACGACCAGGACGCAATAGGGCAGGATCGAGAGTGTCAGGCCGATTGGTGGCCATTATCATTTTAACTTGACCCAATGAATCAAAACCGTCCATTTGGTTCAGCAGTTCCATAAGCGTACGTTGAATTTCTCGATCAGCGGATGTACCTTCTGAGAAGCGACGGCCACCGATGGCATCAATTTCATCCATGAAAATTATGCAGGGTTGATGGTCGCGGGCATAGTTGAACATCTCACGAATAAGACGTGCACTCTCACCAATGTATTTATCAACAATTGCAGAGGAAACTACTTTCAAAAAATTTGCATCCAATTGTGAAGCTACTGCTCTGGCTAATAACGTCTTTCCTGTACCAGGTGGTCCATATAACAGACAACCTTTTGGTGGTGTAATGCCTACACGCAAGAAGAGCTCGGGATTCAATAATGGCAGTTCGATTACTTCACGCAATTCGCGAATCTGTTCAGAAAGACCACCGATAGCGGAATATTTTACTTCACCAGGATCTTCGTGAGACATATTGTACACAAGTGGATCAACTTCTCGTGGCAAATAACGCATTATTGTTAGTGTGGTCATATCGAGGGCAACACGAGTGCCGGATTTCAATTTGCTTTTATCCAATTGGCGTCGGCATCCAACCACATAACGAGGACCATTGGTTGCTTTGACAATAACTAAAATAAGAAGTGGATGTGTGTATACATATTGCAAGTAAAGCCTACTACACTACTGAGGGCTACTCACATTTATCCTCAGTCAATTGCTTAAGAACCTCGCCAACAATTTGTCCAACACTTTGCAGTGCTTTAAGATCGTTTTCAGATTTGTCATACTGTTTGGTAAGTTCCTTAATTTCTTCTCGTTCTAAAGACATAAATTGTTTTAATGTTTTCATTTACAGCTTACTAGTGCTACTCACTTTCTTTAAGTCGTGACTCGACTTCTTTATGTTCCAATAACTTTTTCCTGTACTCCACAAGTGCTTTTTCACGAACACCCTCTGCTGGTACGGCTCCAGTAGTCATATCGGTTTTATATTAAAGTTTGTATAATTAATTTTAAGAAATGTTATAAATTTTTCTGCTTATAGATGAGTGAATCTGCAATTTTCGGCGATGCTTCTTCTTCGAAATATGACATTTGATTTCTCGAATTCTTGCCATCTACAATGGAATAATTTAGGAAATGTAATGAAAGCACTTACTTCTGTCATTTGACTTTCCAAGGTAGTTTTTAGTCTTTTATTTAATTTCAAAATTATTTGTAGTAGCGTTAAGTTTTATAAAGATTATCCAACCGTATGCAATATCAATTATATTTATACACTTACGGTTATATTTTGCAAAAATTCTTTCAAAAAACGTCTCTGCTTTTGTTTTGTTAAGTAACTTTGACAGCTGATTTTACAGAGAACGTATAACATGCTATACGTTCTTTGAGTTGAATTTGCACTGGTACGCATCGCACGAGTCTGGTACACCTGTTGGGTCGAAGGTCGTTTGCTAAGATAAGGTTGGTTAAGTTGCCGATACAAAAATAATTTCAGGTTTCTACATAAAAATGGTATCGTTTTTACAAGCCACACGTTCACTTTGTGCTCAAACACGTAATTTTAGTTCCAAAATACACGATGTTGTAATTGTATCTGCGACTCGTACACCAATTGGTAGTTTTCAAAGTCAATTAGCACCATTATCTGCAACCCAACTAGGCGCTGCAGCAGTGGAGGCTGCAGTGCAGCGCTCCGGCATCAGCAAGGACCAGGTAGATGAAGTTATTATGGGAAATGTGGTGTCTGCGGGTTTGGGACAAGCTCCTGCTCGCCAAGCAGCTATTTTCGCCGGTTTACCTAAGAATGTGTGTTGCACAACAGTGAATAAAGTGTGCTCTTCTGGCATGAAAGCTGTTATGTTGGGTGCGCAGTCACTTATGCTTGGTCAGGCTGAAATAGTAGTCGCCGGCGGTATGGAGTCTATGTCGAATGTGCCATATTATATGAAGCGTGGACCTACTCCTTATGGTGGTATTCAACTCACCGACGGAATTGTATTTGATGGCTTAACCGATGTTTACAACAAATTTCACATGGGCAACTGCGCTGAGAATACAGCCAAGAAAATGAGCATCAGCCGCCAGGAGCAGGATGAATTTGCCATACAATCTTATAAGCGTTCAGCCCAAGCGTGGAGCGATAAAGTTTTTGATGCCGAAATTGCGCCAGTGAAAATACAATTGAAACGCAAACCTGAAGTTATTATCTCCGAAGATGAGGAGTACAGGCGTGTAAATTTTGATAAATTTGGTCAGCTAGCTACTGTCTTTCAAAGAGAGAATGGTACAGTAACAGCTGGAAATGCTTCAACGTTGAACGACGGCGGTGCTGCTACAGTGCTAATGACGGCGGAGGCAGCAGAACGTTTAAATTTGAAACCGCTTGCACGTATCGTGGCCTTCCAAGATGCCGAAACAGATCCCATCGACTTTCCCATTGCGCCCGCTTTTGCAGTGCCCAAGCTATTGGCGCGTGCTGGCATTAACAAGCAAGATGTTTCCATGTGGGAAATCAACGAAGCCTTTTCGCTCGTCGTCTTGGCTAATATAAAGAAATTGGACATCGACCCGGCTAAAGTGAATATTCATGGCGGTGCTGTGTCTATTGGCCACCCAATTGGTATGTCTGGAGCACGTTTGGTAACACACTTGTCACATACCTTGAAGCCTGGTCAATTTGGATGTGCTTCAATCTGCAATGGTGGTGGCGGTGCCTCATCCATACTTGTTCAAAAATTGTAAACTCTGCTCTATCCTATTATAGAGATTTGATAGTGGAGACCAGATGTGCATTTATTTTAGAAAACTTTATTGGAAATTCAATTTAAGTGAAAAGTTACTTGTATTTAAAGGAAATGTTATATGTATTGTATGTACACGTGTTGGTTTTTTATATAATGATTATATTTTTCTATCGAAATATCATTTATCATGTTAAACCAAAATAAAATTTTTTAATAGATAATCGCAAGGCAATATAATTTTTATTTCGCGTTATTTATTATCATAAACTGTAAATTAGACTATCTACAGTTGTAGCTGAGAGCATCATTGTTCATAGTAAAACTTGTTATTGTTGCCGCTGCTCACTAACACCACTTAGGAGAAGGGCAGACTCGTTTATGACCTCCGGGTCTCTCGAGGCAGCTCGAGCTCTTGGTGTGCAATGGGTGGTGCTTGGATTCCGATAACGCCATTCACAGCACAGGTCGAGACAGCATAGTTGTTGTTGTTGTATCAGTTTGCTAGTCGCGCTTAAGACCAGTCAAGATCAGTCTACGTCAACGTGGTCATCTAACAAAAGGTTCAGGAAACGAGCTGTTTCAGACAGGTTCAGATTAGTGGAAAAGGGGGAGGGGAGAGAGGGTTAGATGGTTTTGGTTTTAGGAGGCATGGAATGTTGAGGTTAGGTTTAGCAGAAAGTATGTTAGGAATAGGTAGATATTCAGTCGAATACAATATCCAGATCTTAGTTGTCAGAGTATTACGCGGGACTGTGGAGGAATCTTGAGCTCTACGTTTTCGTGTAAATTTCGGTGTTTTGACACGGAAAACACCATAGACTGGAAGAGAGTGCACGATGGAGTTGACGGACTCTGCGTGAATGGCGTTTAATGCCTGTCGGTGACCCGTGTTGTTGTTGTAGCTGTAACCGCAAAATATTGCGGGAGCAACAGTGCCTGGCCGGGACTGGGTCGTTCCGGTATAAAGACACGACTGTCGGGCGAACTACTACGTTTTAGTCGCTTCTCGCGACAGGCATGCCTTACCACGGGCAAATTAATATTTGTGCCCCTAACCCGCAAGGTGATCGGGTTGTAGTTAGTGCTGTTGAATGCCGTCCTTTAAGTCGAGTACTCCCTTCTGATGTGCGAAGAGGGTGGTTCGGCATCTAGTCTGTTGTCTCCCTACGGTAGCATCCCCGCAGAAATTGTTTACATAGGAAAGTATTACGCTCCATAACTCGTAGGATAGATGTTTCACTGTGCAAGAGATGCTCTGGCGACATCAGATGGTTTCCTGTCTCAGTCCTGGGAATGGTGTTAGACAGCGAAGGCGCTGATTTATGTTGTTGCTGTTGTAGCGGCTTGTCCAACCCTGCATAAAAGTGGGTGAAGTTCGTCTATGCAGCTCAGGTCATCCAACGGGAAGCCTGGGCTCATTTCCTAGTTTTCGAAGGATTCAGACCAGGGGAAGAAGGATATTAGTTAGCAGTGGGCTTTAGTGAGCATAAAGGACATACAAAAGATCGAAAAGAGATTTGAAATATCCTGGCCAGGCGCCCATATTGATCAATCATCGGCATGTGAGATCAAAAAACGTCCTCAGGTGGTAGAGAGAGGACGCCACACTTAAGACCGCTTGTTTAATTTTACGATGTTTTGAAGTTTCACCTGAAAACGCACAAAAAATGGGGGGTGAAATCAAGCTGAAATTGTTCGAGGAGAGCTAGTAGGACCTTAAGTGTTCCTCCAACTTATTCCGCCTATGTTGATTTACCGATAGTTGAACATCCAAATGAAATTCCCTGATAGGGGAATCTTTGGAATTGGCTTGGCATAGGCCGTCGGGCTTCAGTTGGAAAATGTGAGTATCCAAAAATCGGTCTGCTGATAAGAAACGGATGGCAGTGGTTTTGCGGAAGAGCAACCGAGGCTTCCACGACTCTGTGGCTGAGAAAAAGTTCTTTGCAGGTCTGTAATAAAATTATCGCTGAGAACGTAGAATTATCAATCAAAGTAATAAAACTAAGACATCACGCGTACGACGCTTCCCACCTACGATTTACGCACCGAACTATAAAAAATGATTAATTTGTCTTAATTATCGTGCGATTTTGGGGTTTCAGTTAGGCAATTATTCATTATAGCCGTGTTGCAATGTGGCAATGTGGCAATGTGCAACGACAATTAAAGGCTTTTAATTTCATGTCATTAACGGTAAACTGTCCATTCTATAAGTCATTTGCGTTGTGCAAGGCATGAAGGCTCGAAGAATGTAATGCGATATTCATTTGTAAACGATATGTGGTGGATGAAAGTGTTCATTCTGGCTTACTTGATGCCATACGGCTGCGGGCACGGTGCCGAAGGGAACAGCATACTAGCTCCCACTCTGCAGAGCTTGAATATGACCAGCGCGATTGTGCATTATTATCAACAGTTTTTCAATAAACACACGAAGAGCACCACCGTAGCAGTGCGTGCGAATGATAGAAAAAGTTGGACTTACTTCAACGACCTACTGACTTCGGTGCTGATAAGAGCCCATGATTTGAAGGTGGGAATTGATGCGGAGAGCGGTAAGCGGCAGCCGATTAGCTTCGGCTTTTATAACATACTCCTAATCGACTCATTCGGAGCCTTAGCGTAAGTGAAATATAATTTTTATAAGAGTTCAAAGTCAATGGTTTCAGTTGATGATTTGTAGAGATTTGGATCCCGGCTTTCATGCACAACGAAATGATTTCAGCGAGTACTATTTGATTGCGATGCCACCTACAACTAATAGCTCACTTTTAAACGCAGAACTCAAACGAATTTTCGAGTATTGCTGGCGACACTACATTGTGAATGTCGATGTGCTTGTAGATTTGAGCGACAACGGAATCGGGCTCTACACCTATTATCCGTTCAGCCAACACAAGTGCAAGAGCACTGAGCCGGCGCGGTTAAGTCAAGGTAAAAGTATCACTGAGCTGAGCCGCTCAGAAATATTCCCTGACAAAGTGCGAAGCTTTTATGGGTGCACCTTAACAGGTGTATTGTGGCAAGTACCTCCTTACGTCATACTGCCAGATCAGAGTCAGAATGTAACGCGATTTGGTGGTATTGAGGGCTATTTGTTGAATCTTTTGGTTGATAAGTTAAATTTCTCTCTGGATTACAATGAGCCGCCACATAATGAGCAACGAGGATTGGTGATGGCCAACGGAACACTGACGGGAGCTATTAAAATTGTGAGTACCCAGAGGGTCGACTGCAGAGAAATGAGAAATTTTTCCATGCTTCCATTAAGAATTTCCTTTGTTCTGATGAAATGTTATCCTTTGAATGTGAAAATACTTTTCACTTTATCACAACTCTAAAGATTCTGGCTGCACGAAAGAGAACAAAGAGCGCTTGAAAGCCTGAATTCGCCATAAATAAAGTGAAAAGTCTTTTCATTTCACAATTTCGCAAGCTGAGAATTCCTCAAGATTTATTGCTGTCTTCTCCCTTTCAGTTGGCGGAAAAATCTGGAGATCTCAGTACGGGCTGCTTTCGGCGCACACTGGAGCGGTCCACGGTGCTCACCTCTTCGATTAGCTTTTATCAAAATAAACAAGTACTGATAGTGCTGACGAGGCATGAGCCTTGGTCTACTTATGAAATTCTAACCTATCCTTTCAATATCTACGTCTGGAGTTCCTTATTGATCTTCTATTTGCTGCCGATATTCCTGGCCTGCTTACTACAGCGCTTAAGCGTACGCGCTTTGAAATTTATCTATGGTGTTGTCGACACCAGGGACATGATCTTTAGCTGGACTGGTGTGCTCGTAGCACACATAACACACAAAACAACACTGCCAGTGGCAAATTTTGCACGTTACATATTCGTGATGTGGCTTTTACTCACATTAATTTTACGCTCCTCCTATCAAGCACTGCTCTATGAGTTCTTTAATACCCAGAAGGTTATAGCTGCACCATCGTCACTGGATGATTTAATTAAAAATGGTTATAAGTTGATAGCAAACCGGGCAACGGCCGATGCTGTGTCCCAGATTAAGGTGGTGCGTGATGGTCAGATCGAGTTAATGGCGCTGGACGTAAGTGACACGGGAGTTTTTGATGTGCTCGAGGAGAACCCGCACGAGTACTATGTAGCATCCGCACCGAGCGACTTCCTCAAATATTATATGATTACCGAACGTAAGCCCGGCAGGTTTCATGTTTTGAGGGACGAATTATTTGTACATCACATCTCTATGTTCTTTTCGAAGCATTCATTTCTGCAACAGCCCGTGAACAGCATACTGATGAGTTTGCGTAGTGGCGGTATTATCGAATTCTGGTCCGAGTTGCATATTGGCAGTATACCAAGAGTTAAGGATGAAGGGCATATCCAGAAGCGACCCCTGACAATGTCGCAGCTCAAAGGGATATTCGAAGTACAGTATTGCTTGTACGGACTTGCTTTTTTGGTGTTTCTCGTTGAGTGCGTGCGTGGGCGAAACATTTTGCTAAAGAAGCGGATCGGAGGGAGCAAAGCTTTCCTTGAACTTGTGGAAATCGAAACTTAAAGATATATAAAGAGTATTTGAGAATTGTAAAAAAATATTATGCAATGATTACAATAGAGTAACGTGAATAATACGAGGGAGCTTTTTAATGTTAACGAAATGTGGGATCAGAGGTGGGAATAGATAACCAAATGGTTTTTCCCTTTCAATATGTTTCTCTACAGCTTCAAAATACGCCGAAGCTGCCTCCTTGAACTCATAATCGGTGATTGATTTTCAGTCCTTTCATCAAATTTGGAAACAGACACTGATAACTCGGGGCCAGGTTTGGGCAGTATTTTCTCTTTAAAGACATCGTTTAGTGCTTCTAAGATTGAAGCGCATTAGTCTTCAGATATAGGAACATCGTTTACTCGATGAATACTGTACCTTCCGAGTCCTAAAAACCGTTGTCATGAGTTTATGAGTTCAAGGTTATACCTTAGACTTCTTAGGAGGTGCTAAGTTCTTTTATGCCTTTGCATGGATTCTTGTATCAAATCATTTTCATAATGATTAACCCAAGTTTCGTCTCCAGTAACAATTTGACTCATTACACCATCCTGCTCTTCATTGCAAACGTTCAAAAATGCTCAAGAAGATTCTACACATTGTTGTTTTTGCGGAAGCGTGAGCGTGTTCGACACCTATCCTGCCCTGCCTTTGGTCATACCAAGATTACTCCAACCATTCCGTGCGAGTTCTTTCTTCTTTAGTTGAACATCGTCCACTACAATTTTCTTCAACACCTCACCTTCTCGCTGCATCCTGCACTGGAAGACATTACTTCCACACATTGACTGTAAGACGATTGTGGCAAGTGGGGATTCTTCTTGCTAGTTGCTATTTCTTCTAGCACGCCAGTCGTTTTTCCTTTCGCTGTTCGCCGCTCGGCGCCAATTGGAGACACCAAATGAAGTCAGACTCTCTTTTTCAACGGAGCTTGGGAGCTGGTTCTGTTTCGGAAACTTTCAAAGGTGAAATGCTTTACTTCATTTGAATAACATGACCTAATCTTAACCCTAACTCTTTCTTCGTTGAACTGTGCCATTGTATTGCAATTGCGTTCCAAGACTATATTCACTTCGAACTCTATTCTCCCCAATGTTGGGGGAAATGTTAGAAATTACCCGAGGCCAAGTTATTCTTTTCGAATTCTACAGAGAGATGGAGAGATCAGCACGCCTCTTTGTAAGAAAAGGTTATACTTTCCTCTTGGCGGGTTTCCAACCCATTATGCTTCCACTAATTTTCCTTTGGATATGAAGGCGTTGATGTTGATATGTTAGTGTACACGAAAAATAAGTCCTTTTAAGTTTTCGAAGGTGTCTCGAGAGAGTTTTAGTTTGACATGTGGTCTGGTGTCTGATAGCAGATGTTCTTCCCAAGGATATGAGCGCAATCTTTAGGAGAAGCATCGTGATACTACTTCTTTACTAATTCCTAGTAATATTTCATGGCAGCTGTGGTGCCCGAATGGTTAGCATTCCGTCCTAAAATTTATAGAAAAATAAAAAATTGAGTTAAATTTTCTAATTCCCATTGCCTCTCGGCAGGGACTGTCAAACCCCATCAAGTGTATTTATCACTTGAAATAAAAGCTCCTCATAGAAAACCATCAGCTGTTCGGAGGTGGCTTAGTATAAACTGTAGATCCCTCTATTTGTTGGACAAGCTCGCCCGAAAATCGCTTAATTTTTTCACGCAGGACCAGGAATCGAAAGTCCACCGGTTTTTTCAGCAGCCTTCCAGTCTAATCTAACGGAGCTGTAAAGCTCCCTAAAAAACATAGCCTACCGGCGAACCAAGATTGTTAGCTCACCCTAATGATTCGTTTTTATATTTACCAATAGAGTTACTTATTTCCTCGTGCTCGAATTATTGTCCTGAATTATGAAAGCACTTTCGCTTTCATCAGCTTTCATCTAACTGATGGTAATAGCGGTTTAATTTAAATTTATGATGAATTAAATTAGATTTATAATAGCATTAGTTAAATTACAGAGCCGCACAACTAAAGTATACAATTAAAGAGCACCGAGTTGGATATAAAAAGAGCAGCCAGTTCACCGGTTGTTCATTGGAAAATTGAATTCGGTTTCGGGTCGTTCGTGGCGAGTACTAAGAGACGAGGGAAATGGGAGCACTTAAGGTTTTGTATGCCGCTCTCTATCTCTCTCTTATCGTATGTATTCGTGCAATATTCATGAAACAAAGGCAACTTCAAGATGGTCCTGGCGATGAAGAGATATCCGGTAATCTCTCTGCAGCTGCTGTAAAGATTGTAAGGAGCAGTTTTCACAAGATACATACATATAATCTCTACGCGTACGTGGAGCAACCGGAACGGCGTTACCTCTTTGGCGATATTATGGAAAATATACTTAGAACAGCGGGCAAGAACCAGACCGTACGCGTGGGTATGGGCGAACCTGTGCCAGGCGACGATCTACGTCACTTTAATGTGTTACTTGTAGACTCAGCAGCGTCATTGAAGTAGCTACACCCACTTCGAATTGGTAGTTTTACATTGTAACTGATATTTCTTTGGCTCTTCTTCTTTTCGTTTCTTCCATTTCTCCGTAGTGCCACTTATGCGGAATTCGCCAAGTATCACCTCTACATTTACGGCTATTTTGTCATTGTCTTACATACCTTCGACTCAGCGCACTATTATGATGTGCTCTTCGAAATTTTTGAGCTCAATTGGCTGTTGGGCATAATAGACGCGAACGTTTTGGTCTATGCACTGTCCAATTTGTCATTGCTTTACAACATACATCCCTTCAATCAGTTTCACTGCAAGGGCTTGGCACCCACAATAGGCAATCGGTTCAGCAACTTACATTGGCGACACACAAACTTCTATCCCGATAAGCTGGCGGACTTGCATGGCTGCGCCTTGGTGTGTGCCACCTGGGAGGATATGCCGTATCGAGGTTTGATTAAAGGAAAGCCAAAGGAATTCGGCACACTCGCTGGTATTGAAGGAAAGCTGCTGGAATATTTGGCAGAGAAGTTGAACTTTACCATGACGTTTCAGTGGCTGAACGACTACGAAAGCTCGCATACATTGGATAAGAAAGGGGTAGTTTTTAGAGAGGTTAGTATCAGCAAACCAAATAAATAAAAAATTATTTTAACCTTACATCTACTCTCACCGAAAAGCTCATTGAAAACGGCACGGATTTTGTAGTCGGCGCCTTTCCTTATAAATCGCCCACCAAAGAGGATATCTTCACGCCTACCTTTCCTTACTTCTTAAGCAGCTTTAATTTCATAGTCAAATCGAATCCGGAGCCCTACTCGCCGTTTGAGAAACTCTTCCTACCCTTCAACAATGATATCTGGATTTTTCTTCTGTGCATATATCTAGGCGTCTTCGCCCTACGATTGTGTGTATTTGTGTGCTCCCCAGCAGCGAGTCGCTTCATATTTGGCCCCTCCAACTATATGCCCGGTGTGAATATGTTTGGCACGTGCCTGGGCGTAGGGCTACCGTCCCATCAGCTGCCCCAACGAAATTTTGCGCGTTATATTCTAATGCTTTGGCTACTCTTGACAATGTTGCTGCGCAGCTCTTATCAGGCCTTCTTATATAACTTGATTAAATCGAGTATTGGACGCCCGCCGCCGAATACAATCGCGGAATTGTTACGTCAGGAATATCAGCTTTTGATGACAGCAGAAGTTTTGGACACCATACATGATCTACCGGCAATTTCTTCGAGCGCGCAGATTTTGAACATTTCACGATTTGATAGCTTCGAGGTGGTACGCGAAACAAAACATCGCATTGCCTTACTGACACCCTACGAAATTGTTGCTTTCTACAAGCGTTACAATGCGTCCTTCACCAAGGGTGTTCATGTGGTTGAGGAAAGGGTATTCACCCAGCAACTGAGCTTTTATATGGCAAGCAACTCAATGCTTTTAAGTCGCTTCAATCATATAATTTTGAAGTACATCAATGTTGGTCTGTGGGAAAGGTGGAGCAGAGTTCTTTTGGATATGAATTGGCGTGCTAGCGAAGAACTCGAGGAGGCAGTGACAAAAGTTACACTAGAACAGTTATATGGAGCCTGGTATGTGTGGTTCATTGGGGTTGCGCTGAGCATTTTAATTTTTCTCACTGAGAAGCTTTTTAATAGCCAGTAGAGTACTGTAGTCAGAAAGCAAATGGAAACCTCTAGAACTTTGTTTAATTCCATATAAAAACATTTTAAGGGAAGAAAATTTGAAATACATAAACAACAATAATGGTTTTTATTGCTTCTATTTAATTTAATTGAAATGAAAAGATGTGTAATAGATTGATAGAGATGTTGGGATAAACATTAAGCTCGAGCTTAAGAGAGGAAATAAAATATAAATCACATCTGCACTGTGGATGGCGAACTTATATGGATCACTTTTGTAACTGTGGCAGATGATTCACCACTACTCGCGCGAAATTAGTGATAAGCTTCGAGGGGTTCCCGCTGTATCAGGCAAGATCGGGAACCCGGGTAATTGAAGACTGTGGCTGTGATCACAACGGTAAGTGCTGAGTTGGTCAGAGGAACGGCCCATAAACATTCAAAAAGTTAAAGAAAATCAATAATAAAAAATTAAGTTAAATTTTCTCATTGCCGTTGCCTTCGGCAGCCGTTCAGAGGCGGCTTGGTATAAAGAGTAGGTCCCTCCATTTGTTAGAAGACCACGAACTGGAGGAAGAACTCGATCGAAAATTACTTCAGCAGTTACGGATCTTTCCAGAATTGGACGCATTGTGTAGCGTACCCGTTCTCCGGTTTATAGCTGGGTTATCTCTCAGCCGGATTATGGGTCTCTCCTATAAACTCGATTTCCAAAAGCGTAAGAAAAGGACAACACGAATGGTTCTACGTTACAGAGGTAGCTTTATTTTCAAATGTTCTATCACGGCACACCATATATTCTAACTACGACATATATTCTAATGATGGCTCTGCCAAGTCTGAACTCATACCGATAAGGCTGGATCAGTTCGTTGACGTTGTGTTCTAGCGTCTCACACAAAACAAAGCTAAACAGGATTTTATATAAAATATGGTCAAGCTCAAAAATATACCTATCCAAGCTCACGCAGTGACATATCTTGTCGTTCACTTGGTTAGACAGTTAACTTGGAAACGACGCATTTGCGCCAAAAAGTATGCAGCTGAATCTCAAATTTTCCGCAAAACTTACACGGTTGTCTAAACTGACCTTAAGCAACACTAGAACCACCATCAGGATCGGGAAAGACCTTTCCGAGCCGTTCGATGCCCAACAAGGTTTCAGACAGGGTGATTCCTATTGCTGTAAAAATTGAAAGAGCTGCACGGCTGAATGGGGAAGGTGCAATCTTCTATATGAGTTTACAGCTAATGGAGTACGCCAATAATATTGACATTGACCTCAACAACTGCGCCGTCAGTTCTTCTTTCCCCAGACTTAGTAAAGAGCCGAAGCGAATGGGCCTAGTAGTGAGCAAAAACAAGACGAAATATCTCCTGCCATCACACAAACAATCATCGCATTCGCGACTCGGCTCCCACGTCACTGTTGACAGCCATAACTTCGAGGTTCGTCTATCTAGGAACCAGCATAGCCTCAAAGCTATCATAATTAATTTTAATTTAGACTTCAAGATGTGGTCACTTATAGCGAGGCCTCCAATGTTGAAGCAGATTTAATAAATAAATAATGATAATTGACAAACTGTGGGCTCATTCTTTTATGAATTGGGATATTCAACTTTAAAGCCCATCTTATGTTTTTGTCCCTCTATCTCCAGCAAAGAAGCTGCCAGTTCCTCGCCGCCTTGAATAGCTCAGCCATTAAACCATCAGTCGGCAATATCTATTCGAATTTCATTATAGTCGGAACGCCTTACTATCGTCTTCTATTGGAGTTTTAGGTTGGCCATCATCATTTTATTTTCACTGAAATTAAACACGCTGAAGTAGAGTTCGCGCACTGTAGACCAGCATCTGAAAAGTACTGGGCCCTGCAAAGGCGCAATTCGCTTTCCTCTTCAACATGCTAAGAATGAAGACAGTACAATTCATGATTAATGAGGGAAGATGTAGAAAGAGGCTGCTGGCTTTACCATTACTGGGAGTGCCAATATGTGCTGTTAAGTAACGGAACTTCATTATATACATACATTTGTAGCAGGGCTTTTATTAAAATTTGTATGCATATATTTTGTGCTAAAAAAGCTAGGAACAATGTTTCGTCTTCATTTTGAGTTTTTTCATAAATCACAATACACAAATATCATACCCAAAGTAGTATTTAGTAATTCAAAAAATCCATGACCACTTTGCTCAAAGGCGACCGAGTTGACCAAAGTTCCAAGAGGAAAACCAGAATGCAGAGTGTTATCAAAGCTATATAGAGGCTAAAAATACCCAACAGCAAAAAGAGTGACAATTTCACAGGCTCCTGCGACTCGTTAACTTCATTAACCAAACGATAACGCCTCTCGAACTTATCGACTATGCCCACATCGATAAAATAGAGCAAAATACTGTTTATCGGCCATAGTAGATAGGAATGTTTGCGCATGTACATTGTGAGCGGCGTCATTATCAACTTTTGTGGCAGCAGTGCTACCCTATCATCATCCGTTGACTGCCGGTAGTTGTAGTAAAGTACGGCCGGCTCAATTATGGTTAAAGCCTCCTTGGAGCCATGTGCGATGCGTTTCAATACATTCGGCATAGAGTTTTTGCCGCCATCAAAGTGGGCAATGGACGCTTCTCCGAGTGTCGAGCTGAGCAATTCAGTGAGTACAGGTGCCGTACTTATGGTGTAGTTATTAGCAACGATCTCTTTGAATGATTTTAGCGGCGTTAGCGCACGGCCGTCCTGCAGTATTATAAAGAGTTGCCCGGTGTAGGCGGATCGTAAGACTAGTGTACAGAGCAGCCACAAGGCGAGTAAGTAACGCGAAAAGTTGCGATACGGCAAATGGTTGTGTATAACGTTGCCGTATAGCGAGGCCCAGAGATTGCTGAATGGAATGCGATTGCTCTTGCCAAAGACAAATGACGAAACTTGCTTGCTGCCGAGAAACTTTAGCGAATATATGATGAGTACGGCTAGGGCAATGTTTGAGCCGATGAGAGACCAGATTATATACTTAAATGGCCTTAAGAGACGTTGAAGTGGAGATAGAGGTCGTCCATGTGGTATGGCCACCATAAGCGGGAAACTCATATAGGAAAATGACGCATCCATGACTTGTGCACGCTTCTTCTCGTACATCGTGTAAATGATCGTAATATTGCCTTCGCCTTCGGCTATCTGTGAGAAATTTTATATATAGTAGTGCGGTGAAATCTAACTAAAATTTTCAAATATTTACCATCCTTGTAACGCCAGTTAGTGTACCGTTCTCAAAGATGGCGCCACGGTCACGCGGCTGTGGATCCACAACTTTTATCGCGAAGTTCATGGCCTGCGCCAAAACCGAAATTAGCAAGCCTTCAATACCCTCCACGGCCTTAACTCGACCACTTTGTTCGTCTTTATCGAAAATGATGAAAGGCGGATCGTGCCACGTGATTACACTCAACTCACAGCCATACAGATTGTGTACTTTTGAGGGGAAAAACTGGTGATTATCTTTGCGTTGAAATTTTGCCTGATTATTACGGAACGAAATTAAGAGCTCTGGTTTGGCCGAATGACATTTGTTATGAGTGAATGGGAAATAGGTGTAGACATATGGCGTTGAGTCCAGCAGCAAAAATATATTCACATTTATAACGAAGAGTTCGAAGAAGCGATTAAAAATACGTTTAACGGTTTCCAAACGTGACGTCTCATTGCCAGTGTAGATGAGTATGAACCAACCGCTGCGCCTGTATGTGCTCTTCGGATCCTCCAAATCGGCTGCGAGTGCCCTGAAAGTGTCAACAAAAAACATTTCGAAGTAAGGGGAGAACGGCAGACCCGAACGCACTCAACTTACTCAAATGCGTTCCAGCTGTCAATGAACCAAATAGCTCTCTCTGAGAAATCCCCCCATTCGCTCACACTTGCATCGCCGAACAGTGTCTCCTGCTCCATAATATAGACGCGATAATGACGTTGCTGCAAATACACCATCAGTGCCTCGATCAACTCCGCCTGGTAAACACAGTTCTGACGCTTGCTCGCATACTGTGATATAACCAAAGGCGCAGAAGAAAACTTGCCGAAAGCGTGAAGTACAGCCCAAGCAATTGCCACGACTAGTGTGTAGTTGCCAGTCTCTTCAAATTGACGTCTTCCAATTTCACTTAGTATAACGTCCATACCACTCATTGCGCAAATCCAATGCAATCTGCTTCGTTTTAGTCTCGGCTGCAAACTATTTCACCAAACCCGCAGTGAGTAGCCCATAGGCTGCCAGACATTAACGTTTTCACTTTTCGCTTTGCATGTCTGGCGGTGCATCCTTTGCCGCGTTTCACCCGCCATACTCTCCCTTCGTTGGGTTGGGTTAATTGGCTGCATGCGGAGGATGTTTCATTTCCATTAGCGAACATCATTTGTGCTAACACGACGTATTTATTAAGTACACACATACATACATAGATCCATACGAGTGCGAGTATATTATAGGCTCTCACTTACTTGTTTGCACTCTGTTCACGCTGTTGGCGGACGCGTGAGTTATGTGGCGACACATTAAGATTTGCAAGGGGTCTATAATTTCAGATAAGAATCAACGTTGTAGTCGGTTGTTAATGGCGTCAACTCGTTAACAATTTTGCAAATTTATTTTACAAACTAAATGTCAAAGTTGAAGTTTGGAGTTGAGATATTCACCAGAGGCTCCGAAAACTAACCCTTCTTTGTATTTTAAAAATCTTAGGAATAAAAAAAATGTCCAGATTTGAAGTAGTTTTTCAGAGTGTCAAATAAATCTCCAAGCAAGAAACGATTCCGGAGAAATATGGCTCCAACCTTGTTTGTTGTTTGATCTGCCATTACTCTCCAGCTGTAACTGCAGTCTCAGAAGCCGGACTACACTCCTCTTCGTCTCGTTCATAATCACGGAAGACTTTAAAAACAACCTTTTGGAGGCTAAGGTGAGAGAACTACTTATTGTGGGTTGTGAGTATGAGTATGGCTTGGGACACCCCATAAACCAGTCCTTGAAAGCCGTGCCGGACCATTAAGTTTTATGATGCATAAAAATTGCAATTATTCTCTTAAGCCTTGTATTTTTATTAAATAAATTTATATCCGCGGAACAAATATTTTTCAACACTTTACCAACGTGAACACAGCAACCGCACCGCCGATACCAGTCTATGCCAGAGCACTTCCGCAACAAAAACCAAACCTGCTAAGCCAATCAATATCAGATACATCGCAAAAACCCCCCATAGATCGTCCATGTCCAGCGCATCATTGTCCTCCGCGTCGAGTATGTCGAAGTAACTCAGATCCAAATTTTTTTCCGCCCAATAGTCCACCAAACCCTGACTGCGCAGTTGCATGAGCATCACATTGAAGCGCTCGACCAAAAAACTGTGCTTCGAAAAATATATTGTGATGTGTTGAGCAAAGAACCGATCCGGCAGCACAAAGAAGGCGCCACGTTTGCGCTTTGACATGACATAGTAGGTGAGGTAATCCTTTGGTGAAACAGCCGCCAACTTGCCACCCATTTCGTCGATCATTTCGTAGGATTTCCACTCGTACGGATCGTAATTTATTATAATCGGTATGCGACCACTCTGTATTAGAGGCGCTGAACGCACGGTATCGTATGTTGCCTGTGTCATAATGAGCGAGTAACCATCGTTAATGAGTTGAAATATATTCTGTGGGGGTATGCGATACAAATCGGTCTGCAGTAATTTATAGAGAAAGCTCTGATAGGCGTTGCGCATAACATAGCCATAAATGATCCACAAAACGAGCACAAAACGTGCGAAGTTCGTATGAGGCGTGCGCTGTATGGGTATACCGAGGAAGAGGCTGTAGGCATTGGTAAGTGGCGAGCGCGGACGTGGGTAGCCGATCATGATATGTGCGAGTTCAGAGTGTCTACAGCGCATTTTTATAACGTAAGCGAGCAGCAGAATCAATTGAAAACTGAATAGGAGATAGTACCAAGTTTCCGCGTCGAATGGAAAGCTGAATATTTCCAGTGAAGAGTACGTTTGACCAGCCAACTTGACGCCAAATATCTGCCAAGTTTGATAGTACGGGAGCGCGCCTGTCATCAACTCGCAACGTTCCACGGTGTAACGGAAACAGCCTAAACTCAAGTCGACTACGTGATCCTGGAGCTGTGGATTGAATAAAGGGGAAGCGAGACGAACTTTTCATATTTCATGCTAAATCATAGGGGCTCTGAATTATATTTTAATCGCTTACATACCATTTGCATGGCACCCGTTAAAGTCCCGTTCTCCAGGCGTCGACCGCGCTGCTCGTTATTCGGTGGCTCTACCAGATCTAAAGTAAAGTTAAGCTTCTTGGCGAACTCCACCAACATTTCACCTTCGAAAGAGCCCAACTGCGCATAACCACTCCGATTGGGGTAGTAACTCAGATATGGTGGGGAATCCCAGACGGCCACACGCAGCGAACAGTTTTGCAGGTCCCGTAGCTTTTCTGGGAAAATATGTGTCGACAAGGGTTTCAACCAGCTGCCATTGTAAGCATTAATCACATGCACATTATTGCCCTTGCAGGGGCTATTGCCCATAAATGGAAAATATGTGTAGACCTCGACATAGTCGCGCTTGATCTCATACAACACACTGACATTAATGAGAGAGTAGCGATAGAAGTAGCTCAAAATGCTGGTGATGAGAAGACGGGGCACTAGTGATGTGTCCGGATCGATAAGTAGTACCAGATATTGTTCCGCAAAATCGAAATTCTTCGTCAACTCAGCAGGGTCCAGCTCGCTATGGAAGATAAAAATAAAACTTGAAAAAAAAAAATTAAATCCCAAAATATTTCCAAAGATATACTTACACTAACGCCTGTGGTCCATCAATTAGCAGCAGATTATATAACCTCGTTGGTGTTGGTAGGCGCGGCGCTCCCATTGTTTCGAGTTGCAATTTAATATTGTAAATGTACGGTCCCGTACAAGTGATCAAATCCTGCATAAGACGCCAAGATCTTTTGTGCTTCGCATGCACGGAAATCATCAGCTCACTTGAGCTCGGCACAAAATATCTATCGATAATGGTGCTCAGCGCATAACGCATATTATAACGTACGGTCGAGTTGCAGACGGTCTCAGGCGCCTCTATGCTGTCTGATCCGCAGGATTTTAAAATATATTTCAATATGAAAATCAACACAAAACCTCCATGCATTTCAGTTGAAAATTTAGATTTACTATAGGAGTTATTGAATAGTTACTGCGTGCGTAGAATGATGATGCTACTTTGAAGACTGCAGTTACACAAATGAGCTCCAAAGCACGCGACGTTGTGTACATGGAGAGCGCACCGAAAGTTCGTGGTTACAGCGCACTGCTTTTGCTGGGGCCTAATGGCTGGGCGTAGCTTTTCAAAAGACCGTTAAATTTAAATGAATGCTTTTCCAGATTACAGTTAGCCATGAAAAGTTCACCAATTAGTATTACAGCCGACGAGAGAGAGAGAAAACTAGAGTGTGTTGTTGATTTAAGTAATGCGAAGAGTTCTGAGTAATTAATTCATTTGCTGAAAGGTTAATTGTTTTATTTGATATAATTACATTTTTATTTTAATGGAAAATAATCGTGTGATGTTAGGTTTTTAACTAAGTGGGAGTAGGATACTTAATTGAAGGGAGAGAGTTGGAGGACTTATGCGAGATTACACTAGAAATATATCTGCACATACAACTATTATCTATATTTGGCGTACGATTACACAATTATAGCCGAATCAACAGTCCTCGTCACCAGTCGCTTCTTCTACTCGCATGAGAATTAGAGTCATGTTCTTCTGAAGCTGATTTCACACACAGAGTCTTCCGAATCTACTACCAGGCGGGTACTGTATATAATACTTTCAAAACTAGAGAGCTTTCATCCATTCGGACGACATGAGCTTTTAGTGTTCCACATAGCGGCGTCGAGGCAGCTCCTATTTGTACTACCAAAGGCTGTTTTGATTCGTCGTTCGTTGTCGACGAAGGTGGTGGTGTGTCGATACTCTTTTCATAGGTCTTTTCCAAGATCCGGCGCATGATCTAAAGCCACACTGATAAGGACTAATGAGTTTGTTGACGGTGGACTTCAATCTTTCATACAACACGTTCGATATGACCTTATATGCAATATTAAGGAGATTTATCGCTGTGGGATCGCCCTTTATCTGGATTTGGTCCCAATCGCCGGGCATGCTTTCATCCTACCATATTAAGCAAAGTATCTGATGCATTCACCTTTTTAGCTATTCACCGCCATGTTTGAATAGCTCTGTCGGTAGGACATCAGCTGTAGCTGCTTTGTTGTTCTTTAAGTGGGTAATCGCTATTCGAACCAAGATATTGTTGGGTAGTGAAACGTCTTTTCCATCGTCATCGACTGGGGTTCTGGGCTCACCATCTCCGGGAGTTTCATTTTCACTGGCGAAAAATTATGGAGAAGTGTTCCCTTCGTAAATTCAGTATACTCTGTGCATCCGCCACTAGATTTCTACGGTATTGAAACCTTCTGTAAGTCGTCATATCTTTTCATATAATTTTCGAGCATTGGGCTTGTCGGCCAGCTTCTCATGCTCTTCATACTCAAGCATTAGGGACTCTTTCATTTTTTTTCTAGCAAATGCGTGTTGCTCCCTCTTCAGCTCTCGGTATCTTTCTCACCCCGCAACGTGCTTTCTCCCCACTGCGAAGCATTTGCAGTTGCACGAAGTGAGTTTGAAATTCCGTCGCACATTTCCTTTATATCGAGTTGCTGATGAGCTCTCTCAGAGTAGGAGTGCTAGAATAGTAGAAAAGCGCCCGGCGGTCTGTTATGATTTCAGGTTTCCGACGTCGTGTTTGATGACGAGTATTCTTTGACACACAGAGGCGAATGCGTATTTTCTCTACAACAAGATAGTGGCCCGAAGCGATGTTGGATCCTCGGAGTGTACGCACTTCAAAAATATTGCGGGGTATTTTATGTGAAGAAGTTAGATGTTGGTGGCAGCTATAGTCTTAAGCACAGGACATCATTTGATGGTCTCGGGTAAAAAAAGGTACAAGTTCGCTGCCTTGTGGCACCCCAGTTTCGACGCTGTGAAACGGCGACATTACGTTTTCAGATGCAACATAGCAGAGACGTTGGCTCAGGTATGACTTTTGTGAAAGAGACTGTCTTTAAATTCTTAAAAAAATGTTAGTACTTAAAATATCTCTATAAAATATTAAAGTTCACAAGCACAAATAACAGAAATGTACGTGTGAATACAGCAAAGTCAATTGGTGTAGAGTTCAAAGCCACTTGATTATTCAGCCAATTGATAGCGAGGGGAAGGACATCGAAAGAAACAGTAAAAATGACTACGAGAGTGACAGCGCTCAGAAAAAGGCAAGCAAAATTTCTAAAAAAACTATTCGGCAGAAGTTGCAGCGTTGCATTGGAGTCTTTTTGCAGCTTATCGTGTCACACGTTTATGCTTAAACAATTTTTTGCTCGAAATTCGATAGAAAATTCGCGCGAAACTTTCAGATTATGTCGGTTTGTATGTATGAATGCATATGCAAATGCAAATGCAAACAATCAGCTCACACACATGAGTTAGTGTGCCATGCAGGGGAAAATACTGTTATTAACTGGAATCTAACTGGTTTCTGTTTTTGCACTAACTAGCTCATCTCCCATCTATTTCCAATGTAAGCATCTCTTATATTTACGGCGGCGCCGTGCTATGAGCTTTCATCAGTTTTATACTAGTTGTATACTAGTTCATTTAGGTATGTTGAACATTTACTTCACTATAAATAAAAATTAAAATAAAACTGAAATAAATCGCCTGCAGCGAGACTTGAACCATGAACCCCACGTGTTACAGTGATTACCTCTAACAGCGCTGCTATAGTAACAATGAATCCAGCGGCACCATTTTGCGTACTTCAACAGATCTTAAAAGAGAAAAGAACTCAGCAGTGGCGTGCTTGATATAATAAGGTGGAAATTATTATTGTCGTTACAGGTGAGCTACAATGAACTGGCTTTATTTATCCAAGACAGAATTATTCATTATTATGCACGGCTTCCCTCCCTGGTGCGAGCTCCACACTATAAGCTGGACGCCTAAGAGCATCCCAACAAAGCTCGCGTTGCTTATGCCGAGACACTTTCAATATATGTATATATGTGGTCAGGCGTTGTCCTAATGAGACACAATTCCCCTGCTGTTGGCCAAAACTTTGTGCTTCTGGGCGATTACTTTCTTCAGACGGTCCAATTGCCGACAGTACTGGTCCGAGCTTAGAGTTTGGCCATCAGGGAGCAGCTCGTAGTGCATAATTCTTTGCTAATCCCACCAATCAAACAACAAAACCTTCCTAACCGCCAATCCTGGCTTGGAGACTGTTTGTGCCGGCTTACTGTCCTTCGACCACGATCATTTTCATTTGACTTTGCGGTGAGTGATATACTTTTTGTCACCAGTCACATCGAGCTTTGGTAATAAATTTTTAACGTCTTGCGTTAGCCTGATGCGTTCGCTTTTGCAAAGAGTTAAAAAATTTATTCCAGACTCGTTTATGGTAAGTTTTAAAGTTGCTATAGTTTGGGGAAAAAATTAGTTTGGTGCATTTATTTTTATACTTAATGATAGAAGAGCCTTAACTCCACTCATAAGTGCGGCCAAACAGGCAGAGAAAAGCTGGTAGGAGCAGTTACTAACAAGAAAAGCTCAGAGACCCGGCAGATGCTATTGAATGACTAAGCTCCGATACCCGGAGGGTGGATGGAGCATTTGGTTCCAGCAGTGAATTGGTATTTAGCACGTATATATTGCCTGCAGCGTCGTATCTCGACAAGGAATGCCAATACTTGAGATTGTTTTTCTGGCATGTAGCGTGAGGGCTAAAGATGGTAGGTCCTTCTATCACTGGAAAAATATCGAGACGCCAAACACATATTAGTAAAGTACGAGTACTTCAGATATATGTAGTTAACCGCTATCTCTGTGCTCGTAAAGAGAAACGGTGATCTTTGTGATAATTCATTATACCCTGAAGCAAAAGATGTGGGTTCTCATTTGTAATTCTAAGCCAGTTTTTGGGTATTATTTCGTAAAGAGAACGGTGATCTTTGTGATAATTCATTATACCCTGAAGCAAAAGATGTGGGTTCTCATTTGTAATTCTAAGCCAGTTTTTGGGTATTATTTCCACAAGAACTTTGCTCATTATTCTGGCCACTCCCATACTGATCACTTGGATATTTTCAAGTCTGAGAAGATGTGCAAATTTGCATCTTAGAGAACGTTAACTGATTCTTTCTAGATTGAGTACCTGATCCAAAGTACTGGGTCAAGTGATCAAAACCAGACTGGGTATAAAAGTTTAGTTCGCGCGGACGAGTAGAGAACGCTCTAAAATAGGAAGGGAAATAAAGAGACCGTCTAATGGTAGGAGCAAGGCTGAAGCCTACCCTGGTTATCCTCGAACATTTTGCGTATGGCACCCACGCTGCGTATTTTTGTGAATTTCCTTATTTTCCAGCTATAGATTTTTCAGAATTTTTTCTTCAGCTCACTCGCTCATCGGCACACACCATCAATGATTGTTTGTTTGTTTGTTTGCATGGCTTTTGATAAGCGCAGTGGCGGCACGCGTTGCTCATGATGTACGGACAAGTCGACAAGCCTGTCAACAGTAGGAAATGAAATCCACACATTGCCAGCCAACAGCCGCCAGCAACCAACTATGAACGACTGAGGCGTTTGCAACACATTTACATACATACTCACATGCCAGTAGCGAATGTATTTTTACTTGTTTTCCACATGCACTTATAAATATGTATGCATGTGTGTGTGTGAGTGCAACTACGTTCGCAAGAGTTACCACATGCTGTTGCATATGAATCTGACAATGATTGTACGATTGTCCTGTGTTATTTAAGGCGTACCAATATTTGTATGTAAACGTGCGTATGTATATACATACGTGTATGTATGTATAAATCTGTGCATGTGTGTATTTGGCGTCCGTATATTTTTTTTGCTGTCAACATTGCGCATTGTACATGCAATGATTTAATTTTGCTCGTAATTGTGCTGAGGCAGGCAACAACCACATTAGCAAATGCACATTGGGGTGGAGCGAAAAAGGAAATATGTGAAAATTTTGCCTGGAAAAATTGTCATTCAAATGAACACCT